AAAATAAAAACAAAAGGGCTAGGGATGTAGTTCAGTACGGTGGCCCAGGATCGAATCCCTAGTACCATAAATAAAGAATCTATAGGATTAAAAACTGTATGTATTCTTAATATTAACCTTCTTCCTGTTACTATTTATAGGATGTTTATTGCACAAAAAATTAACATTTTTCTTTAAATATATTTTCATTGTATTACTAAACAATCCTTAGATTAAATGTTTTCTACATTTTGTTTTAGAAATTTTGTTTTTCATTTTGTCTTCCACAATATGGAATTTTGTTATATTAAAAATTTTTGTTCTCTATTCGCCGATCTGTGCTTTATGTTTACAATGTTTTCTCTTTCTTTGGTTTTCTTCACTGTTGTCACTTTTTTTGTTGTTGTTACTGGGGATGGAACTCAGGACTTTGCACTTGCAAGGCAGGCAGCAGAACCACTGAGCTAAATCCCCGGCCTTGTTGTCGCTTTTTAGTGAGTACATAGTTTATTATTTTTTTAGTCTTTCCTTTTTTAATAAAATGAAAAGAAGGAATATATTTTCCCTGAATGGGCCTTCATTTAAGTGGCATGTTTTAAATGTTTATTGTTAGTTCTTCAAGACCTAAAAATAGATCTACCATATGATCCAGCTATCACACTACTCTCTATATTTCATTTTCTCAAGGAAAATGAAGTCAGTGTATCAAAGTGATACCTCTACTTTCATGTTTATTTCAGCACTACTCAGAATAGACAGGACACAGAATCACTCTGGCTGTCCACTGATGGATGAACTGTTGGGGAAATGTGGCATGCATACACCATGGACACTAATCAGCTACAAGAAGAATGGAGCCTTCTTATTTTGGATAGGTGCAACTGGAGGATATTATATTATGGGAAATAAGCCGGGCGCAGGAAGACAAATAGCACATGCATATTCTCACTCATATGTGAAAGCTGAAAAAGTAGATGTCAAAGAAATAGAGAGGAGATTCTTTTAATTCTTTTAATTAAAAGAATCATACCACAGCAATATATGTGCACCCATGTTCATAGTGGAACAGTTTGTAATAGCTAAAGCTTGGAAACAACCCAAGTGCCCATCAACTGAAGACTGGATAAAGAAGATGTAGTTTTTTAATAAAATGGAGTACTACTCAGCCATCAAGAATGAGAAACTAGGGACATTTATAGCTAAATGGATGCACACTGAGGCCATACTTTTTGGTACTGGGGATCGAACTTGGGACCTTGCGCTTTCAAGGCAGGTGGTAGAACTACTGAGCTAAATCCCTGGCCTGAGGCCATACTCTTACGTGAAATAAATAGGACACACATGTATAAATACGGAATAGTTTCTCTGGTGTGAGAAACTGAAAGTGTAAATAAGGACTAAAATGAATTGATAATGTGAAATAGGACGAAAAAGTACAAAGGGGAAGGGGAAGTGGGAGAGATAGGGGAAAGGAAAGAAGGGAAAGGAAAAAATATGAGAAAAGAGAAAATGGAAACAAAGCCTTTGTAAATAGGGAGGGGTGGAGGACTTGAAGGAAGGGCAGGGGAAGGGGGAAAAAGTAAGAACCAAGATATATTACGTAAAGGTACAAGTTCCCAATGATGAATGTCATCGTATTATATACCTAAAATGTACCAGTAAACTTAATGAATAAAAAAATAGAGCATGGTGTCTCTTATATGAGGCTGTTCATGTACACTGGGCGATCGCTCGGCCTATCAGTCCAGGCCTTGGCGTCGAAGGCCCAACCCCACGTCTCTGTGTGATTTCCTAGGAATATCATGGTTTAGCTCCCCTTCTCTTCTCTAACCATGAGCTTCTCCTTTCTTACTCAGCCCCAGGAAATACCCAGATGTTTCCAGACTGGGTCATTTTATTTTTCTGTTAATTTTACTGACTGTGTGCGAAGCACTGTTCCCAAGTTACCCAGTTCATGTCATGTCCCTATGTGGTTTCAGAAGATTCAAATGCTTCCTTTTCAGATGCCACCTCAGATTACCTTGGGAAGGTTTTATGCTCATCCTTTCTGCCTCTACTATCATTTTGTATTTTCACCAGAATAACTAGTTATAACAGCCAAATTTCTCTGCCTGTTTCTTTCTCCAATAGACTTTTAACTTCCTAAGGTCAGAAACCATGTCTTTCATCCCATATAACTAGTATGTAGATTCTGGTGCCTAAACACTTCAGTATGTTTTTGCTGAAATTTAAAAATGAAATTTTTAAAAAACTAAATCACGTCATGTATGAATGAAAGATAGCTTTAATGTGGTATGTCATAGTCTGCACTTTGCTGTGAATGATTTTGTCATATGTCATGTAAATCTAGCTTCCATACAAGTCAGTTACTTTTCTTCTACAAGAAAATAATGTCTCTGTCTATGAGTATCACTGAATAGATACCAAATTTTAGATTGTGAAAAATATGTACATTCCAGAGATATATTTATAAGTATATTGTGATCTTAACCTTCCAAATTCCACGTTAAATATTGTATTAGATGAATAAAGGTATTCCAAAATCTTTTTCACTATACTTAGCCCAGGAATAGTAATGCTTTTGAATTCAGAAATTTAAAAAATCCTGCAACATAGTTTAAAATAAAAATTTGCAGAAGAATATACACTATCATATAATCAATCACTGAAGTCTGCTAGTAAATAAAGGCATAAATTGCAGGAGGGTTTACTTAAGTTGTCCAGGGAATGGATGTACCCATATGTGGTTTGGAGTCAGCTGAATTTGAGTTATCCTCAGCTACATTTTGAGTTCTGTAACTTAAAACATGGTACTATCTAGATCTCCTTGTCTTTCTTTATGAAATTGTTTACATTTTAGTGCTGAGTATGACTAAATGAGATAAATAACACGAAAGCACCAAGCACGGTTTCTGCTAGTCAAGGGCATTCACTGGTTCTCATCGTCCATTCTTGCCACCTTCCTGAGATCATTTCTCCCAGTATTATTTTTCCAGTCTCTTTCCCAGTCTCCCTTACTATCATCTTTTAGAAAGTAAGAGAATACTTTTTGCCTTTTAATTTTTTAGTAAGAGCCTTCTGTATAAACCAAGCAAATATATGTCCTGATGGGACAACATAAGACAAATTCATCTTGAGATCTATATATTTTCTAACACTGATGTTCTTTTTAAAAGCATTCTTACATCTCTAAAATTCATTTCATCATTTTAAAATGATGGGTTTTAATGGGATTATTTTTAAGAATTACTGAATTGTTTTTCAATCATAGGATAGTAAAATTTTCTTTCCTAACTCTAATAATTCTTCAATATGAATCTTATCCCTTATCAAAATTAATGAAGATTGTTATAATTTAATTACAGCCATAATTTATTTTTATGTTTTATGTTCTCTAAGTGCCTTTAATATTTAATTGGACATTAAGTACAAGACAAATGCTGAATTTTCTAACACCTATTTAGTGTGAATATCTATTAAGCATATAACAATAATAAAAATAAAACACTTCTAAGAATATCTTATTAAGTCTTCCCTGTCATACCCTGAGGTAAGAATTGTCAGTACTTTAATAGGAAAAAAAATAATCTTGAAAGGTGAATTTGGCCCAAGCTCTCAGGATGTCCATGCAAAGCTGAGATTCCTACTGTGCTTTGTTTTCCTTATTATACCTAATTTATTTTAATATGTTAATTGTCCAGTGTATAATTCGAGTTCAAATTTTAAATGTGACTTTAAGTGATTTCTTGGACCTTAAGACAATTCACTTTAAGATATTTCTTTTTTGATATAAAACACAAATATGTTATTGGAATTAACAGTGACTGTGTATTTAGTAGCTTAGCAATAAGGTGAAATACACATAGGCACACAGACTCCTTGAAAAGAATAAATTTATACATGGAGCTGGAACTGGGTGACATCATATATTCAAGAGCTTATTTAAAGTAATGATGTTCCAAAGGTTGAAGACATCAGTCACAAAAGGACAAATACTGTATGCTTCTACTTATGTAAGGAAGAGCTATTTATGAGTATGGAGCTTTAGTTTAAAAAAAGGAAAAGGGCTCTGGAGGTGAATAATGGTGATAGTGCCAAACATTGTGAATGTACGTAATGCCACTAAACTTTACATTAAAGTGCTTAAGATGGTGAATTTTAGGTCCTATGTTTTTTACCACAAATAAAAAGAGACATCATATCAAAGGTTTCCAACTTTTTGTGCATATGGATTTACTATGCAATTAGTTTTCATAATGTTCTTTTTTATCCTAACAGTGCATATTGAGTATTTTCAAGAAGGCCTTTTACAAATTTTAAAGTCTATGTAGGGGGCTGGGGATTTAGCTCAGTGGTTCTGCTGCTTGTCCCACAAGCGCAAGGTCCCAAGTTCAATCCCTGGTACCAAAAAAAAAATTAAAAAAATAAAAATAAAGTCGATGTAGGGTGCCATTCTCTTTCACTAAAAGTTGCAAGGGTTTTGTCTTGTTTTCATATGCAGAGATGGAACCAGAGGGGCACATGGGTCAGATGGAACAGCCTGTGCAAAAGTATGGGGTGGGGGAGCCTGGCCACCATCCCAGTCTGCGAGGACACAAGGAGGAGACGCTGCCAGCCACAGCCCAGACAGTCCAGGGCCAGTAGCACACACCGGAGTGCTTAGGGTTTTCCTACAGCAGATGAGGAATGAACAAAGCATTTCAGTTTGCACTGAGTAAATGACTCTGATGCCAGTGAGAAGGGCAGATTGGGGAGGAGCCAGCTGGGGCAGGAAGAGGGTTTTGGAACAGCAAGGAGTCTGAGCTCAAACAGTGGGGACAAGAGTAAAGAGGCCTGGGACTCAGAGACAGAGCAGAGAATCAGTAGAATGTGTGACTTATTTTAGATTTAAAAAATTGGAGGTAGTTGTATGCAAAAAGTCATGAAAATAAAGACAACCAATATGAAAAATAATCTGGTGACTACTGCTACCATGTTATTCCAGCATCCACCGAGACCACTTCTGGAACAAAAATTCTTACCTTAGGTCTTCAAATGGGTCGGCTCTGACAAGGGGTGTCTCCACTGAGTGTTCGAAAAGAGCCCCTTCAGGCCCTAAAGGAATCAGATTGTATAAGAAACAAAAGTAAAATAAGTGACATCGGACATATTCAGCATCCCTAATCTGAAATCCAAAATGCTTTTTGGAGGACTGACATGCCAACACAAGTAGAAAATTCCACACTTGACCTCATGTGACGGGTTGTACTCAAAATGCTGGTGTGCTAAATACTGCCTGAAGTTACGTGCCAGCTCTATGTATAACGTGTATTTGAAGCATAAATGAATTTTGTCTTTAGACATAGATCCCATCCCTAAGATATTTCATTATTCAGATGTAGATACCACCCCCCATATCCAAAATTTGAAACATTGCTGGTCTCAAACATTTCAGATAAGAGATACTAAGCCTTTAGATTTTAAACTTCATTGCTGAATTTGTGCAGAAGTTCCAGTTCAGGAAACGAAAGGGAACAGCTGCTTTTCTACTTTTCTGGTGTGATCACAATATCTTACCAGCCAAATAAGATTTCCAAAGCAATTACAAATTAGCAGGTTTACTTTAAAACTAGAGGGAAATGCTAGCCATGAAACTGAAAAAGCAGGGCTTTTTTTCCCCCACTGAAAGTCATGTACATCTACATAGTTCAGGTAATACGACTTCTTAGCTTTTATGTGTAAAAGTATGTCTTGTGCCATTTGTTTCTAAGGCACAGCAGAAAAAAAAATTTAAACCTAAACATTTAAAGTAGACCTTCTAATTTCTAGGAGTCTGGATGTTCCTATTAGTTTATTAATTTGAGAACTTAATTGCATGAGAGGAACCTGTCCTACGGCTTCAGAAATACACAGAGAAAAGGGACATATTGCTTGCAATAGCCTAACTTGCATGCATGCAGTTTGAATTTGGAGGCCTCTTTTTAAATCTATATGCTACAGATTTCCTTGTACATAAATAACAAACAATGTATGGTGAAAAGCAATGTACCATTAGCAAATGGCTAAATTGAGTGTCGTCCACAGAGAAGAATTCTTTTAGGGCAGCACGGAAAACTTTCTGTAGTAAAAGGCAGTTAAAGTGAACCTAAAAATAGACATTTATAAACGTAAGAGGTTGAGAACAAAGGATTTCAAGGAGAGCAGGAGCCCAGGGGCAAGAAAATGTGATGAGTGCGTCGAATGAACGACTAGTCCCGTTGACCGGAAACACAGGGGTTCACAGAAGACAGATTGATTGTTCGGATGATATTGAGAAATATTTCTCCTCTTAAGTTTATGGGCATACACACAAATTTAAGTGCATTGCATCGTCTAATACAGCCGTCCTGATTTACCAACCTAGCCTAGGCCCTGCCCCTTATGTAGGCCCCTCCCGTTTTAGGGTCCACCCCCTATTTTTGGCCTGACTCCAGTTTATTCCCACCCATGGCTTGAGGCAGGGGTTGCAGTTTACGAATTCTCCCCCTCTTGATTCCACAAAGCTGTCAGAACTCATCCTCACGCCGTACAGACTTTCCTCTTTTAGGAATACTGAAGTGTTTATTTCCTATTCTATCCTTGTATTAATTTTGATATCAGACACTGAAGAAAAATTGCCCAGGTGAAATTTTCTCATATACCCCGTTGAGAAGTCATCAGCCCAGGCCAAGATCTTGTCAGCAGCCCTCACTAACTGAACGATTCACAAAGCCTGCTCATTTTCTCCACTGGGCGATTGACTAGATTACTAAGGAAGTTACTGCTCCCTTAGTAATTCTGGATATGACAAAACCACTGCAAATCCTCAGTTGAAAAACAAAAGCTTGTGGCACATACATAAAAGAGACTTACATCAGCAGAAAATAAAAACTTAAAACCACAACCAGATTTAGTAGCATGATTTACATAAATGCTATCATCAACTAAAATAAAGGAACAGACATAAGTGAAGGTTAATGGTTCATGAAAATTATATTATAATTCATGGAAATTATATTCAAACGAGAAACAGATCCTCCTATATCCTATAACAAGTCACATCTCCTTAAAATACCACTTAAGTAAAACTAAATGATAATGGGGACATTATGTAAAGTAAGGCTATACTAAGCTTTGGAGTTTTCACAATAAATTGTGCCAATTAATTTTATAGTACAGTGTGTAATTTTGTCTGAAGTATAGACAACTTTCTGTGTTTGGTGTAGAATGGGAAATAATTTAACTCAGTAATCTGCATGATACTTATTTCTTCTTTATCTTTTTCTTTCCTCTTCTCCTGACTTGCAAAACATAAAAGGAAATATAAAGAAAAATGCACCAGAAATCAATCGTTAAGCCAAGTAGAGATATGCTTAGTTTTACATGACTAAAATTGTTCTTTATATAGCATGGTTTGAAACTCGAGTATTGCTTCAATATGAGAGATCTAAGATGAGTGTTATAAATACAGATGGTCCTCAACGTCAATGTCTCTTCAGAGGATTGCTTGAATTTATGGTAATGTGAAAGTGCTATGCGTTCAGCAAAACAATACTTGAGTTTGGATCGTCTCGGTCTAATGATACATGGTCCAATCCTCTCTGTCTCCCAGCACTGAGCTGTGGCAGCCCTGTGCAGCTTCCAGTCTGTCAGGCCATCCTGACATCCATCAGGCCATATCATATGTAAAACAGGCATGTGTTACACAGATGTACTAGCCCAAGTACAGGCTAACATATGTGTTCTGAGTATGTTTAAGGTGAACCAAATAAAACTATGATGTTTGGTGGGGTTGGTGTATTAAATGCATTTTAACTTGCAATATTCCCAATTGCAGTGTTTCTTAGGATATTAACTCCGCTGTAATTCAAGGAACATCTCTCTCTCTATTTTTTTAATTCTTTTATTGGTACATTTTAGGTATGCAGTACATTTACATTTATCATTGGGTGTTTGTACCTGTACATGATATATCTTGGCTCTTATTTTTTCCCCCCATTACCTGTGCACCCTTCACTCCCTCCACCCTTCCCTATTTACATAGATTTCATTTCCTTTTTTTTTCTTTTCTCATAATTTTAAGGAACACCTATAATCAAAAACTAAGGATTTTCTCATGACTAAGTAATAGAAAGAGATGGAATGTGGGCTATACAATTTTGTGTAATTTTATCTCTTTTTATATAAACAAAATGATGTTAACTCAGAAAAGAAGTGTCAACACATTTACTCTCTACAAACACCTTTTTAACACCAAGCTTGAAATTCCAGCATATTCCAGCCACACAGGCGGGTTTTTGCTGAGGATGGTACCCAAGGCCTGACACATGCTAGGCAAGAGCTCTATCACTGAACTACGCCTCAGTCCTACATAAGCAATTTTTATTTGAGGACAGCTTCAATTATTTTTCCCTTATGAGCTGAAATTATTCGCTGCCAGTGGCACTATTTCACAGAGAAAAATATCTAAATCATTAGTTTTTACATGCATGCCAATTACTTACCTTCTTATATGGCCATAATTAATGATATTATTTTGTCATGTGATTTTGGCAATGTACTTATAGGCAGATATAAAATCCAAATACTGACATGTATTATCTTTTAGCAGGAACAGCAGTTTCTCTATTACTAAAATTGTAAATGCTCATATCATAAGATCTTAACTATATCATTATCATTCAGTTTACTTTGGTAAATGCCCCTTAGAATCTATTTGCATATAATAACATGGATGTTTCTGAATGGTTTCATAAAATGATTCTCAGTAAATGGTTGTTGATTATCAATGTAGCCATGTTTTCTTTATGTTTTCATTTCTTTTTAAATATTCCCAACCAAGGTTATATAAAAAATATAGTTGACATAATACTCATTCCTTGTGGAAAAAAGGATATATTACTTAAGATTATATAATCTAAATTTTATGTAGAAAAAATAGTTCCATTATAAAATATTATATCAACCATGGATTTAAATGATCTTGTATAAACTATGTATTATTGACACAGGAAATTATAATAAAAAAGAAACAAAAAATTGAAATCACTGTCTTATAATGTTAACTTTTTTTTTTTTTTAGTACCAAGGATCGAACTTGGGTCCTTGTGCTTGCACAGCAGGCTGTGAAACAACTGAGCTAAATCCCTAGCCCTTATAATGTTAACTTTTAAAAAAATTGTAAGAATATGTCATCAGGATCAGACACAGTAAGTGGTACACTGTGACATAGTAGTGTTCAGATGACACTACTCTCCCCCTCTGGGTCCCAGAGCATCCTGAGATGAATGACACTCACATGCAGAGCTGTGCTCGGACTGTGGTACAGGATTGGAGGGAAATGGTGGAGTGGGCAGGGGAAGGGCTCTGGGATAGAGTCCAGCAGTCATAGACAGCCTAACAATGGTCACAGATGACTCTACATTGATCCAGTCTTCCCAATATGCTGCTATTTCAGGTTCCTTCAATTCTCAGAATCCAGTATTAGTACTACAACAGTGGATAACATATGCTGAGACTTTATTAGGTTTTGGTTTCTACAATGATAAGCATTTATCCAGGTGAATTCCACACATTTATTGAACATTGATGGACTGCTACAGGCTTTTCAAATGAGACAGAATTGTTCCTCTTCACTGTCGAACTTCCATAGTGTCTCTACTACCACTCCTTCTGGTCACTTTAATTGCTCCAGTGAAAATGCTCTTGTTTAGACAGCAATGGCATCCATAATGGTAAATCCAAGGACAATTTCTGTCCTCTTTCTGGGATCCAAATTCTGAAAATATGGTCTCTCTGGGCACCAGGAAAAGGGCTCCTGAGGTGCTCCACCCCCACATTGACTCCAGTTTTCACTCTGCTTTGCCGCTTTCAGTGATAAATACAGTCAAAATGGCAAGAACAGTTTTCTTTTTCTGAGTCAAGATGAGGACAGGTACCAGTCAGGGATGTAAATTAAGAGCAACTCCATCCCTCCGCTCCAGCCCTGTGCTTGGGGCCTGCCACGCAACATAATAGAGGAGGAGACAGCAGAGCATTTGCTTTTCTTTCCAGTCCGATAGTGTCTCTTCAGTCCTCTCTCCCCCCTGGCTGTCAACCACATTTTGTTTTGCGGATTTGAAAAGTTCTGAAGGCACCATGGAGTAAATGCATTTAAAATAGGGCCAAATTTTCATAGGAAGTAGTTATAATGGGAATTTATCTTGAAAAATCGAAATTTATAAAAACACTGCAATGTATTTTATATGTACAAAACTTAGTTATAATTGTAGTATGAAATGATGTGGAATAAACAAAGAATAAATCAAGTTTTGGGGGTTTTTGGGTGCATTTTTTCCAACATGGTTGGAATTATATGATGGCTGTAATTAGTTTTCTATTTCTATGTTACAAATCATGTCAAACTTCACTGCTCAAAACCATACCCATTTGTTAGCTCACAGTTCTGTAGGTCTCAAGTTTTATCCAGGAGGCTTGCCTGGGTTTTAAGCTCAGGATCTCACCTAGAGGCTCTGGGTAAGATGCGGTTTCCCAGTCTGTTTTGTTGTTAGCAGAATTCATCTCTCAGATCTAAAGGCCACCACACTCTTTGTTATGGAGGAGCCCCTCCATCTTTCTGAGCAACAAAGCAGAGAATTCTTCTTGCCCTTGAATCCCTGACTTCCCCTTTTGCTCCCAGGCATACAAAGGGCTGTCTCCTCAGATTAGGCCACCAAGATCATCTCTGTTTTGCTATGTAAATAACATAACCCAAAGACAGACTTCTGGGCATGCTCACTCACAGGGGAGAAGCTTACACCTTAAGGGCCAGCAGGGTCACTGGTGGTAGCTGTGCATTGAGGGCATCATCTGTCATCATCCCAGAGTTATCACTGTTTGAAGTGGCTGTAACGTCATGTCACGTTCATGGCTGATTCACACTGCGTCAGAGGCCAGGTCTAACTTTCCTGGCCTTCTCTTGTTAGTGGATTTGCCAGCAGTCTCAGTATTTCTACATTACTTTTGACTTTCTGAAACCCTACATCTTGCAAGACTTGCAATTTAATGTGACTTGCTCGGTAGGAAGCTGTGGAGTATCCTATAATCAATGAGAAACCAGTGGATGCAGAAGTGTGAAACACTGAGGGGTGAAATGCTCAATCAAGGTCATGCAGCTGGGACTGGAACTCCTTCTGATTCTTTAAAAATTACCTTTTGTTATTTTTAGCGTTGTCTGTTAATATCCATCTGTACTATACACTCTGCATAGAGTGATGATCCTTATTTTTCTTCTTGATAAACTTCTACCCATCTTTCTAGGACCAGTTTACATGACTCTCCCTGGGGAACCTTTTCTGAAACACCTACTCTCTCTTCCTGCTGCACCTGGCAAAACTGATGTTTGTCTCCAGGTTGTCCTGGATCTCATTGGCCAGCCATCTTTTGCTGTCCTTAGCGTGTTATACTTAACAAATTAATTTTATTTCCATCTCCCTGGCCAAAATGTAAACATCTTGTAAAAGAGATCATGTGTAATTATATTGTACCATAGGTATATAGTTTAATTACTGACACACAGTAAATACTAAATCAATGTTACTAAATTCCAGAGAAACAGAATAAATTTAGGGTAGGCCAGTGGTTCTCAAGTGGGGGTGATTTTGGCCCCTCCCCTAAGGAGTTTATTGGCAATGAATGGAAACATTTTTGGTTTTCACAATGGGTGTAGTAGGGAATATTAATAGCATTTAATGGAGCTAAAATAGCATTTGTGATGCTGCTAAACAACCTGCAAACAACAGGGTAAAGTACTTCCATATCCACAACAAAGACATTATCCACCCCAAATGTTCATAGTGTTAAATCTGAAAAACATGAGTTGGATGACATAGAGACTCATGCCTTGGACAGATAAACAAAACAAGAAAAGGTAGAATTGTGGATTTTTTGGAGCTTTTTTAATTATAAGATTTAGGGAAAGCAGGAACATATTGAAAAACTGAGAAGAGGTGAAGTCTGATCGTTCACCACTTGTGGTTGCCATGACAAGAACTTCACATTATTGCAATGGCACAATGACAAGTAAGGAATAGTTGTTAGAGATGGGCGTACATTTTCTTTAGTTAACGTCACTGGAGAGGAAGAGGACTTTGGGAGAATTTTGTTTTAGAACAAAAAAAACTTATGAAAGAGAAACCTATGATTTATTTTGTAGAAGGATGACTGGAGTGTACCTGGTAGAGAGAAGGTCTACATGTTGCTGACCTGTGGCTTGTATTGATTCTGGTCAGATAAGTGTAGGCCAGTGGTTTTAAAAGTGTGGTCCTCAGAACTGCAGCACCAGCATCAACTGGGAATTTATTAGAAATTCAGATTCTTAAGACTAATTTCAGACCGACTGAAGCAGAAGATCTGAAGAGGAATGTAGTAGATATGAATATAATACAATAAAACCTTCAGGTGGTTCTGATGTATGTATGCAGGTGATAAATAACACAGTTGCCCATCAGATTTCTCACCTGTTCCACAAATGATGCATTAGTCTGAATGTAGGCCTGGGGCAGGAGAGAGTTCATTTTACTGAGAAAGTTCATTTTCTGTGTGGATGGTTTGAGTATGAAGCAAACTAAGTTGTTGTTTTGATTGTTTGTCCTACAGATTTTATTACATCACAGTGCAATACTTTATCAAGAACTATGATATCCTTCACATATACTAATCCATTTAATCTGGCAATGACAGTAGAGTACACTTCATCAGTCTACTCTTAAAAAGTGAGGAAATATCCAACAGAGACCAAGCAACTTGCCTGAGGTCATGCAGCTGTCACTAAAGTACAAATAGAATCTAGATCAGTGAAGCCCATATCACCTATACAGATGCTCCTTGACTCACGAGGGGCTTCTGTTCTAATAAACACTCACCATAAGTTGAAAATATCTAAAATCAAAATGCATGTGATGTACTTCACCTACTGATCATCCCACCTCAGCATTTCAGCTCATTGTAGAATGTCAATGTCTTTCTTGGAAACTGAGTTCCCTCTGCTGCCCAGAATCACGGGACTATAATCGTGACTCCAGGAAAAGATCAAAATTCAAACTTACTTCCAAGTACGGTTTCTACTGAATGTAGATTGCTTTTGCACTGTTGTAAAGTGTAAGAATTAGGTTGAGTGATCCTAAGTCAGGATGGTCTCTTATGCATCGGTGGGTTTCTGCTGACAGAGGCATTTACGTCTCTTGATCTTTTATTTATTAAGCAATAGTCAATTCCTATAATTAGATTTCCTAATACCTTTATTTTAGTTAGAAAAGCAGCCACACTGCCTTGGAGTGAGTTGGGACATTAGATTACGGTTTTTATAGTTTTTTGTTTGTTTGTTTTTAGGGAATTACATATATTGCACAAAACTTTGAATTGGAATTGAGTTTACTTCCTGAGCCAGAAAACTTTATTTTGTTTTTATTTGGGAGTATTATTGTATGATTGAGTAATGTTGCTATTGATTTTCAGAACAGTATGGTGGAATATATTCAACAACTATTTGTCTTTACAGAAGTTCAGCAAATGAAACTAGAAAATATCCTAAACTTTTTTCCTCTAAAATTTCTTTTTAGGCCTAAAAGGCAGTGTTATGAGAAGTCTGTTCCACTTTTAATTGAATAAGTTACTTTCTTTTTTTGGGGTAGAAATACAGAGAACCCAAGTGTCCATTAGTTGGAATAAAAGAAAATTCGATACTTGAGTTATAGAGATGGAAGAAGACTATATGGTAATCCTTTGTATTACACCAATGGAAAGAGACAAAGGTTATCAATATGGTAGAAGAAAAGAGTAGGTAAAGTACTCTGTTGCTAGAAGAGTATGAAAAGAATTTCAAAAGAAATGGCACAAAGAAAAGTATTGATACGTACCAGTTACTCGGAGCTTATCTGTACCGACCACAACTTTCTTTTCATCTACGGTAAATAGCGGCTTGCCATCTTTTGAGTTGATCTGAAAGTGCTGATTCTGGACCTCCACCATTTTGGGACCTACAAGATCAATTAAAACAGTTCATTACAAAGTGTTTACCATAGCAGTGCTGTTGAAATGGCTATTTTCATACACTCTATGCCATCTAGTAATTAAACGTTGATGACTTGCTATCAATAGTTTTACTGATTCTCTGATTAAAATTTGCATGGTTTAAATTTACATCTATAATCAAAATTAATTTTCAAACATGCTAATCTCTATTAAATAGATGTATGAATACATTATTCAAAAGTTAATTTTTTCATGTTTTTAAAACTTGATGAAAATAATATAGACATTCCTCATTTCATCACCTACAGATTTAACAACTGTTCAGACTTATGACTAAGATATGCTGTTCGAACTTAGGATGAGCTGCCAGGACTTAAGACACAGGAATTTGAGCAGCAATGTGGCCTTAAGGTGACTTGTTCTATAGTACCGTAATGTAACTTTTGCTGATTGCACTGTACAGTACAGTAGTGATTGTAGTTTTATGTCCTCTTATATATTACAGTGCTGCATGGAAGAGTTATGCACATAAAAGCAAAGTCATCAAGTTTGAGTTTCCTTTGATCATTTCTTTGTTCTGAATATTGTCATGTACATACTCTATGCAATTCCTCATTTAGCGACCCATTCTTTTAACGACCAAGTTGCACAGGAATGTAGCTCTGTTGTTAAGTGAGGAATGTCTGTATAATGCATCTACTCATAATTAAATTTGTACTCTTTTGAGTATTAACCAACTAAGGATCTTGCGTGATGAAATGTGAGTTTTGTGAGAAGAATCTATGAATGGCTCCCTTGAGTGGTCCAAGCTCACCCAGAAGATGAATCAGAGCCTGTCTCCTGCTAGTACGCCCAGAAAAGAGCCTCACTTCCTTCCCATGGGCAAAACAAGCATCACCTAAAACACTCTTGTACTTTTGCCTTGTGCATAAGATGTTTTTGTCTTCTTCATCCTTACTATTTCACTTTCATCTCCAAACACAATCCCTTCACCTGAGCTCTAGGCTCAATGCCTTCCAACTTGTGAATTTATTCTGAAAATGATTAATTTGTGCCTGCTCAATGTCAGGCACTGGGGATACCATATCCTCGCATATGTATGATATCACCCCTCTCCCTTCTCTGCTCAGCCCTAAACTGACCCCAAGTGTTCTTCTTTATGTGTTTCTTCATTTCTCTTTGTGCTTCTAAACTTTCCAACCCAGGTAACAACATGAATTCACTGCCCTAGAGCACAATTTTCCCGTTTGCTAAAGAAACTTCAAGATTGTCCTACTTATTTTAGGCTAGCCCTATATACTTTTGAAAATGGGTCGTATCTTAGGGTCTTATGTGTACTACCGATGTCTTTTACAGCGCTCATCAAAATAATTGTTACTTGGAAGAAACAAAGCTTTTCAATTAATGTTCTAATCGGTTTTGGACTTGATAACCAGAGTATTCTTATAAAATTTTGCTAATTCATATTTCAAAACCCTCCAATGATTCTTAAATACAGAAATGAGTATTTTTGGTGAGAGAGGGAGTTAGAAACTTCATCTTATTTTTCTCCATTTCTTTTCCTTTAAGAAAGCCTGGCTTTATTTTTTGATAATTGTATGAATTTTCACTTCTCTGAGACACAGGGTCATTGTTTCTTATTTCTTGGTCACTAACATATCTTAAATAGTTACTACATAAATACTGATTTGCTCTGAATCATGAATATAATGATATCTATCAAGCTGAGGAAAGAATTGGAATTATTTCTCAATAATTAGTTCACTATTTTGTTTCCTGAAAGTTCATATGCCAGATCTAGGAAGGTTTGTTAAGGGTAAGTGGTTAAGCTTATTCTTAAGTGGCTAGTTTTTTCTGTAACAATTATTTCATAGACACAGATGAAACATTCAACAAACTAGTCTATTTGCATACTACTTACAAGTAGCAAAGCAACATGAACCCTTACTCAAAGAAAACACAAGAAATTGAGTCTGTTCCATTCACACAAATTATTGCATGTTTTTATGAACAAGATTCTGAGCTAGCTCACAACTTCTAGGATTTCATAGTTCAGGAGAGAGAAAAGTAAGTAAGCCCAGTTTCAGGACTGCTAGGCAAGTGCTGTGAAATGGCAGGGAGAGTGTTTGATGGGAGTCCAGGCAAGAAATGCATGGTTTGTCCTTTGAAGTCGAGAACAGGATCTGGGGTGGCCCAGGCCCAGCTGGCCTGAAGAGTGAGCCCAGGCTTCCCTGAGGAAGGAGGGCAGCCACTGCAGAGGGGAGGAAGCCTGAGGAGGGCACACAGGTGAGTAGAGTTCCATTTTAATTTAGGTTTAAATGGTTTCCACCTCAGAGGAAACTGCACTGTTCTCCAAGTGATGACAAGCCTATAATTATTGTGTTTGCAATTAATCTTTTAACTTTTATTAGTGTTCTGTCAGTTTTTGTCGTCTCGGACATTGATTAGAGCTTAGCAAATAATTGTTTTGCAGTGGAAATCTTTAGAAATAAAAATTCTAGGCCGCTGACGCACCCGGCCCACCTAGGCCCACTCCCCGCCGGGCACCTGGGCACCCAGGCTCCTGTCCCGCCCGCTCTCTGGGGCCTGGCCGGCTCAAGAGCACCGTGTTGGGCCCTGGGCTGCGGCGCTGCGGTCTGAGGGTCCATACTTGTGATTCTCAATGGAGCGCGAAAGCACAGACTCAGAATGAAAACCGGCCCTCATCGGCCACTGATTCTCCAAAGAAGGAGGCTGCCCCTTCCTGTTCAAAATGCTCCAGTTGAAACTTCTGAAGAGGAGTCTAAGAAACCCCCTGCCCAAAAGGAGCCTAGTCAAGCCCCAGCCTCCAAGGAGGTGGCAGAATCCAGCTCTTGCAAGTTTCCAGCTGGGAATCAAGATTATTAATCACCCTACCATGTCCAACACACAAGTGGTGGCCATCCCTAACAATGCTGATATCCAGAGCATCATCACAGTACTGACAGCCAAAGGAAAAGAGAGGGGCAGCAGTGGGCCTAACAAATTCATCCTCATCAGCTGTGGGGGAGCCCCAGCTTGCTCTCCAGGACCACAGCCGCAAGCCCAAAACAGCAGTGATTCCAAGAGTACAGAATTGCTCCCTGAGAAGTTGGGACCAAAGCCTGCAGCTAAAGATATGAATGTTCCTAGGGCACCTGGAGCTCCTGCAGGGCACCGGCGGGAGAGCTATGCCGGCGGTGAGGCAGCAGGCTGCATTCTGGACAGCAGCCTGAGTAACATCCAGTGGCTTGGGAAGATGAGTTCTGACGGACTGAGCTCCTGCAGCATCAAGCAGGAGGTGGAGGAGAAGGAGAACTGTTACCTGGAGCAGAGTCAGGTCAAGACCCCTCAGGTGGAGGAGCCCTTGGGAGCATCAACAGCCTGGCAGGACTTTGTGTCTGAGAGGCTGCCCTACTTCTACATGGCCATGATACAGTTCGCCATCAACAGCACCGAGAAGAAGGGCATGACCTTGAGGGACATCTACATTTGGATCGAGGATCACTTCTCCTATTTTAAGCACATTGCCAAGCCAGGCTGGAAGAATTCCATTTGCCATAACCTTTCCCTCCATGACATGTTTGTTCAGGAGACATCTGCCAATGGCAAGGTCTCCTTTTGGACCATTCACCCCAGTGCAAACAGATTCCTGACTTTGGATCAGGTGTTTAAGCAGCAGAAGTGGCCTAATGCTGAGCTCCGCCAGAATGCAACCATCAAAACTGAACTCCCACTGGGCGCACGGCGCCAAGGGTCAACTCGTACCTGGGGCCCATCCAGTTCCCAGTGAACCAGTCCCTGGTGTTGCAGCCCACAGTGAAGGTGCCGTTGCCCGTGGCGGCTTCTCTCATGAGCTCAGAGCTAGCCTGCCACAGCAAGCGAGTCCGCATCGCCCCCAAGGTGCTGCTGGCTGACGAGGGCATAGCCCCGCTACCTGCTGCTGGACCAGTGAAGGAGGAGAGATCTCTGCTTGGAGCAGGGCTGTTACCTTTGCTTCCGGTTCAGTCTATCAAGGAGGAAGAAACCCAGCCTGGGGAGGACAAGCTCCCCTTAGGGAGACCCTTCGAAGTGGAGAGCCCTCCCTTGGAGGAGTGGCCCTCTCCGTGCTCATCTTTCAAAGAAGAGTCATCTCACTCCTGGGAGGATTCATCCTGCTCTCCCACCCCGAGGCCCAAGAAGTCCTGCAGTGAGCTCAAGTCCCCGGCACGGCCTGTCTCAGAAATGCTCGTGGTTAAACGGAGAGAAGGGAGATGAGCCGGTCTCAAAGGAAACAGCACCTGTTGCCTCCCTGTGTGGATGAGCCCGAGCTTGTCTTCTCGGAGGGCCCAGCACCTCTGGACAAGCTGTGGAGCACCCTGTCTGCCTCCTGGCGGAGTCTGCGGAGCCAGCCCCTTTGCTCCGCTGTCCCCAGGAGGAGGGAGGACCTTTCAAGACACCCACTAAGGAGATGCTGCCCATCTGCTCCACCCCAAGTAAATCTCTCCTCCTCAAAACCCCTGAGTCCTGGAGGCTCACACCTGCAAAGTGAGGGGGCTGGATTTCAGCCCGGTACAAACACCACAGGGCACCTTTGGCCCCTTGCCTGCCTCCCTAGGGCTAATGGATGTGAGCACCACGCCACTGCAAAGCATTCCCCTCTTTGACTCACCCTGAGAGCTCCTCAATTCAGAGCGCTTTGACCTTGCCGCCGATCCCTTTAGCATCTCTTGCCCCTCAGATCTGGAAGTCCCCAAGCTGGGATCCCCAGAGCCACAGGTCCCCAGCTTTTCAGCCAACCGTTCTCTGACAGAAGGCCTGGTTCTAGACACAATGAATGACAGCCTGAGCAAGATCCTGTTGGACATCAGCTTCCCTCCTCCCTGGCCTGGAGGAGGACCCCCTGTGCCCTGACACCAACTGGTCTCAGTTCATTCCTGAGCTACAGCAGGGGCTGGGCCTGGACCCTACACTCAAGCTCTCCACCATCCCAGGCAGTCTTGTGGCTGGGCAGCCCCAGGCTCGGCGC